AACTTACTCCTGGCTGTTCTTGTTTTCCTTCGTCTTATAACTATTGAGGTATGGTTATTTTTCTCCTCCATTGCTTAATATTCCTGGATTAGATCCTGAACATTTTCCTTAGTCACTATTCGTAAAACTAGCTACACCCTTAAAAATATTCCGTTCCCTAAAAGTGAAAATAGCATGGTCAAGATTGATTGATTGATTGATTAGTAATTTCGTTCGCGTCAGATGCTAAGGTCATTAGTCCCGTAAGTGTAGCGCATTTTTTCTCGCGGAAGGTGGCAGTGAACTTTCCCCGCTGGATGGCGAGATCCAGAATCGACCAACCCGTCGTCTCGCGCGGTTTCCCCATCCAGGAATCTCCCACCAGCGCGACATCGCCTCGGCTGGTGGACGCTCCAAGCTCCCGATCCGTCTCCCGACAAGCGAGGTAGTGTAATGCGTATGAGTGTAAGCGTGTGAGTGTAATGCGTGTGTAAGTAAGGAATGAGAACAGGGCATGGAAGAAAAATCGCGCGCGGCCGCGGGCCGCTTTTAAGGTACTGCTCCGACATTCGCCTAGTGTTGATAAAAGAAACCACGAAAAACTACCGATCATACCAGGCAGACGTTCGAATTCTCCTCCAGGTAGCGGTTTAATTCGACCTAGCTATCTACCTAACGTCGAAAATCACTGCCACCGTCGGGACTCGAACGCTAGGACCTCCCGGTTCGAGACCCTGCAGTGACACCAATTGATGCCCTGAGTCACATCAGCTGGTGTTTCGTACTAGAACCAAATTCGAAGGCCCTGACATACGCTTTATTCCATAAGGTTCGATTCTGTGCATGGCTAAGCATTGTAACATTGTAGAGTTTACTAGCAAAACTGAATAGTTAGAGCCACGTGATTAAATTGCCCAAAATAGAACATGGTCAATTTAATTTTATTTATATTTCAAAGTTTTGAGCACTATGGCTAAGAAGTGATGGCACCAAAAAAGAGCTCAGACTCAAAAAAATGCAATAAAAGACACCCAAGGACTCATTTTGCTGATTACGGTTCTACGTCACTATGGACATTCGACCCGCTTTTACTCCCGAAATTGAGAAGAAAATACAGACGTTGGTACTCCCTGATATCAGAAATAAGTTTTTTTAGTGCCTATGAGTCTGGCCGTCCTATAGCCCGTCCGCCCGACAGGCCGGCCAGTCGGCAATCTCCGTCAGTCCATCAGTCCGTTTTTTTCAGTCGATCAATTTTCACAGTTTATCAACAAGAATTACAAAATTACGAAACCGTTACAAAGTTCGTTGAATAAACGACATGTGGCCGATCTGCATTAAAAGCTAAGAAATTTCAACATAAATTATGCAAAGTTATACTAGAATTATTACCTATTAACCAGCAATGGTGTAATGGATAAATGAATTGGTCACGGAGCCTACAGACACAAATTTGAATCTTGGCCCGGGCAAGGATGTTTTTGGGTAGGAAACACGTTTGTGAGTTTAACTACTATTACAGTACGTACTCGTTGCAAATATTTAGTTTCTAGGACACATTCGTATGAAGAATTTGTGTTCGTTAGCGAATTTTGAGGAATGTGTGTATTAATATGTGAAAATACTTAACTACTTAAAGCTAAGTAAACATTCTTATATTTAAACATTCTTACCAAAGAAATAAATTTTGCTGAACGTCATTCAGAAGTACCGTGTCGTCATTGATAAACAAATCGCTGGGCCGTATAAGTCATATTAGGCGAAATTTCCTAACCAAGTCCGGAATAGTACTTTAAAACACGGACTATGGACCGCGTGCAATCTTCCCTTCCTTGTCCTATTTTCATCCCTTACGTATTCACACTTGCACCAACATGCACTACACTATCAAACGTCGGGAGCTTAGAGCTTGTCCCGGGTGGGGCGGGCCTCGCTGGCGGGAGACGCCTGGTTGCGAAAATCCCGCTAGCCGACGACGGTACGTCAGCGCAGGTCCTCTCCGTTCAGCGTGGGAAGATCGCAGCCACCTCCCGAGGAAATAACATGCACTACACTTACGAAACTAATCACTTTAGCGGTTGATCCGTAATCGCCAATCAATCAATCTTAGGAAGTAGAGAGATCTAAATTCCAAACAGTTCGATGAAAAGACTCTTAGAAGAGGTTGAAATATTACTTTAAAATAATTTTATGGAACCTTTACGAATAATACGAAAAAGAGTATGTAATACTGCAGTGTCACTTGCTGTAGAAAGTAAAACTCTACAAGTATGCACAACACTAAATACCGATTGATATTTTTGACCTCACAGGTCATTTTTATCTTAAATTGTAAGATCCTATAAAATAAGTGAATTTTGAAAAACTTAATTTGTGATACGTGGTAAAGCGCACTTACTTTTCATATTAAAAATACACATTAAAGAATAAATAAAAGAAAATTAAGTACAGTTCAAAGTATTATTTTGTCCATGAAATGCAGGGTAGAAAACTCTAATTACAAGGCCTTGATATCGAAAAAGTTGATAAATCTAGTTGCTAAATTTAGAAACAATTCTTTAACACGTCGTGTAGCCAGAATCCATGTTTAGTGGGTTCTTGATGCCGAAAACTCAAATGACAACAAAACGTCTGTCTGTCCGTCCGTCTGTAAACAACGGTAGCGGTTAAAACGTTCAGCCGATTTTTTTCAAAATTGATATTCCGTAATCGATCTGGCTGATGTCATGTCCCGTTGAATTTGAAACCGATATTTTAAATTTGGAGAGTACTTTACATGAAACCCGTGAGACATTATTCAAATGTTAAAAAAAAATAGGTCCATCATTTTTTATTACATTTTGTTGCTGGATAGTATGAAGAAGATTTACGAGAATGATACAAATCTCATGTCCGTTGAAAACCTGGATTTTTCAAAAATTGCAGAAGTTTAAAATTTCTTTGGCGTCATTCTACAACTGAAGAATTAATGATTGAGATATTTTCCTTTAATAAAATATATTTCCTAAAGATAGATTTTGAAATAAAGTCATGTACAATTGTTCAATAATTTGAGTACATTTCGCGTAATTTTGCGTAAAAATACGGGCTGTTTAAACACCACTAGTTTAATGTGGCCGATGTGCACATAGAGCACCTACAGTACAATTGTGGATGATAATTAAAAGGTGAATTATATTTTAAAGTAGTACGTAACGTATAACATTATAGGAAAGGTGTTATTTAAGGTAGTATATGATTTCAGCGCAATAGTCACATTATTTCAGAAACAGTTTCGACATTTGCCTATAATCTCAGGATTGGCTCTACCGAATGTTCTAATAGATTGCTCCTGTGCGTAAAAAATGCGTGCATCGCAACCCCGGTAGGTAGCGAGTCTGTTGGGACATGCAGAGATGTCCCTAAGTTTGCTAAAATCTTGAAGAAAAAATACTAACAGACTACTTACTTCGGTGAAACGAATGCGGTAATGCCAAGGTTTCTTCGCAATGTCTTTGCTCATGTAATCTGCAAGCCACTAGGAATTTTACTACTCAGCGATTTTTTGTACATCAAAAGGAGCAATTTCTGAATCCTTCATGACAAATTAAACTTCAAGAGTTTTTTCTTTAGGTTGATGCTTTGCGTATTTTTCTAAAAAAAAAAAAGTAAAATGTAGTTTTTGCGTAAAACGTAATTTTGTTCCGTCTGACAGTAAAAATCTGGAGTATCCAGAAGGCGCGCTATAGTTGTGAGGGTGTGAGCGTGTGCGAGTGTGTGTGAGAGCGTGAGTTAATTTATAAGTGTGTGGGTACGTGAGAGTGTGTAGAGTAAGTGTGTGAGGGTATGTATGTGTGGTGTGTATGTATGAGAATGAGTGTTAGTTTGAGTGCAAATGTGAAGTGAGAGTGTATGTGTAAGTGCGAATGTGTGTGTGTGTGTGTGTGTGTGTATGAATGTGAGTGTGGAGTGTGGAGGGTAGAGTGAGGAGTGCGATTGTGGAGTGTGAAGTACGAGTAAGGATTTCGAGTTACCGAAGTTCCCCGGTGTTCGGCAACGGTGTATGCCCTAGCAGCCTAGTATTGTATACGTAAGCGCGCCATTCACTTCCCAGGGCAGTTCCAGAGTTGAGATGAATCGACAAGATGTTTTTCACCTAAATTTTTAAAGACAAAATGTGGGAAATATTCAGAACAATCAATTTTCCAGGTTTCAATATTAGGTTTTTTAAATTTTATCTTACTTTGTCATTCACAAATGATTCAAATGACAAAACGTTGAACCTACCAGTTCACGCTTACAGTTGATTAATTATGTTAGTTTTAGGAGTTACCGTTAAAATGTGTATGCTTAGGCCAATTTTCTTATTATAGGCCTTCATTCAATACATTTATTTCGAAACATTATATATTTTTGGCTAGTTTTTAACTTGCGCCAAAGTAGTACGAAAGAATTATTTAGGAGCAGTCCCAAACAATCTGGACTTCAATAAATCCCGACATGATATGGTGTCAAGCGAAAGTGGAAATTCTATCCATATTACATTCACAATTTTTTTTTGTATTGTATTTTTTAATCTTCCAAATAATCACATGAATATCACGAAACTGTCAAGTTTCAACAAAGCAATTATTGGAATTCAATAAAGGCGATAAGAGCCACCCATCTTTTTTTTTCGAGTGAGCATAAATGTCTTTGTCCTTATATTTTTCTCAATCATTTGTATCATAATTTTTAAAAGAGTAGTATTCTGCCCAAATAAATTTATTGTTTTATTGGGTAACATTATTCCACTTTCTTTCTCACTAAATCTCGACATTAACATTGGCACGATGTATCAATTTTTGGAGATTAATTTCCTAACTTTTTGTAATTCGAATTTACCACTCTGGACTCTGCTTACGACGGAGCGGTATACTGAAGCCATGACGCTCGTTCTCGTAGATGAAACTGAGTAACAACTTCTCAAAATTAAGTGCATGCCAGGCTAGAAAAGAAATGATTATAATTCTTCACTTATGTATGCTGACGGGCGAGCATACCTGGCAAAGTGCTTCCTTCGCTGGCTGCAGTAACTCCTTCCGCCGCCGAATGGGTGGGAGATGGGCCATCCTCTTCGTCATCGTGATAATCCGTCTTGCGTCCACTGGCCACATCGCGGTCACTTTGGGCCGAAGCAACACCGTAGGAGGAGCAGCAGACGCACAGCAACAAAACAGAGTGGAGACAGCGGCGCGAAAACAGCGACACAGTCATCTCATCGTCATCAGATGACTAATATCATGCTTCTTGGGTAGTGGGCAAGGTTGGGAAAACTGAAAAAAAAGGGGCTGCGGGAAGAATGGAGCAAAGGAATCGAATAAGAACCGAAAGGGGTAGAACGTATGGAAAAAATCGCGCTGTTGGACACACGAAGGAGATGGAAGCAATGAGACGTCGCCTCGATCTATGGCTGCATCAGTAGAGACCCCTCGCGGTCCGCGTTCTCGCCATGGCCGGCTGCTCCTGGGCTCACCGTTCGCTAGGCTCGCCTGGCGCGAGCCGTGGTCTTTCTCATCCCCCGCTAGAGTGTGCTGAGGTACTGATGGCGAACCCAGCATCCAAAGGGCCAACACAAATTTGTGCTTGGACTCCTGCGCTTGCGCTCTGACCCCCGGTCGTTGCAGGCTCCGGGGTAGTAAGGTAGTTACAGGGGTTCACGAAGACATTTTCCAGTGACTCTTAACCGACAATACGGAAAGAAAAGAATTTTTTATTTCTGTTTTTTAAATTGTTTGAGTTCGAAATTTTTAATGTCCATAACTTTTAACAAGTTGCAATTTCCAACTCAAATGGGAATCGACATTGGTTTGAACGTACTGCACCATCTATCGGCGTTTAAATGAAGTATTCTTCTGAAGTTGAAATTATTCCTAACAAAAGATTCATATATAACGCTTCTTTTACCGTCTGAATAAATACAATCTTCATTTATAACTAATTGATAATTGAATTCATGATAAGAGTACAGCAATTGTCTGTTGATACACTGATCTTTAATCATACCAGATATACTCTTTGACTTATACTTTAATTTGGAAGAGTTGGTAGTAATAACTTTTGTTATAGACATTCTGTACTTTTCGAGTTTTCGCAAGGGACTGTGATCGCAAATAATTCATTTCGTGAATATTTGACTTGCTTTTGAGGTAGCATGGCATCGAAAGGGCAGCAAATACAAGAGATTGACTTATCAAAACTGAATCTTCAACAGCTTACTCACATTAAACAACAATTAGATCAGGTATGTGCGATTCATTGGGCCCTCGCCCCATGTATCGACTTAACCTAATTCTATTGATACGAATGTTGGGAAATGTTACATTTTTGACTTGCTTTTATTCAAATAATTCCTTTCATGTTTCTAGGAACTCAATGTGTTTCAAGATTCATTGCACACCCTGAAGATTGCACAAGGAAAATTTCAAGAGTCGGGTGACAGTTTAGAAAAGATAAACTCTAATTCAAAAGGCAAAGAAATCTTAGTTCCACTTACCGGATCTGTATCCTTTTTCCAATATTTTTTTATTTGTGATGTTTTGTAATCATTTTTACAGTGGTAAATCAAGGAGTTGGTATAAATGTCATTCCCAAGAATAAGTATTATTCTTTAATAAATTTTGTAGATGTACGTACCAGGAAAAATTGCTGATAGTGAGAAAGTAATAATTGACATTGGAACTGGGTACTACATCTCAAAGGTTTGTTATTTACCTTGAACAATAATCCTTGTCAAAACTTCTTTTTCTATTAAAATTATTTTGCAGGATATTGATGGTGCAAAAGAATATTTCAAGCACAAAATTAATTTTGTAACAGAACAAATGGAGAAAATTCAGTCTATGGGAATGGAGAAAAGCAAGATTCGTGATGGTAAATACCTGATTTATTTTCTTTTTCTTTCTCATTCTTCATTTATCTATATTTTTAAGTTTTACGATTCTAGATTATTGCAAAGGACAAAGTTAGTGCTTCAATGAAATAAATAAAAGATGACCATATTTAACAACAGATATATGAAGCATGTTGTTTTCCTTATAACACGAATTGGTAATTATGTGTTGCATAGACTTTTAAGATTGCTAATTGCAATGACAAAACTCAAACCGTATCATGAACAACTTGGCCTTATGAGTAATTTGGCATATAAATGTGAGGAAATAATGTGTGTGTGTAACTAGTATAATACAAGCCTCTTGTTGATATTCCACTGGAGTATGGAACATGCTTGCAAAATTTAAAAATTTAAATGAAAAGTTAGTGAATAATTTTATTTCTTGTCAAAACTAAAATATGAATATTACAAAAATTCTTTCTTTCAAAGTCTTTAAATACTTCATATGGAATCAGTTTTCAATTTGAATTCATAATAACTGATTCCTTTTCATATAGTGTAGTAAAACCTGTCCTTTAATGGCAGAAGGATGAGAAAAATTTCACACCTGGAAGGTTGGTTCTAGGTCAATTTTGACCAGTCTTAATTTTGCTCAATAAGTCTATTTACTTGTATTGAATTTATTTGAACAGTAGGTTAGTATATTCCAGGTTTGTTTAAAAAACAATATATGTATTGGCTATTAAAATATTTAAGTTTTACTTTTAGCCAGCTCAAAAATGTAATGAACGTAAATTAAGCAGATTCACATTTTGCTCTTATTTCAAAAATATTTTCAAATTTGAATCTGGGGACCTACAAGGGGCAGGCTTCATGCCCATGGTTCTTTTGCTGTTTTGTCTGAAATTGACAATTGCTCTGCAGGTTCTTGAATAAATTGTTGTTGCCTTTGTTCTTGTCATGATTTTAAGTACAGTGTGGGCATTTGTCATTTATAGATCAAGGATGTTGTAGAAAACATGAGATATCCATTGTCAATTTGCTTTGTATTTTTGACCATTTATTCAATAACATCATATTGTGTAATCGAACTATTTTTGGGATAAATTTGCAAACTTTCCTTACCAGTACAAGAACATCGTAACAGCATCTTCATCTCAGTTGAAATGAGTTCATTGCGAAGTCCAGGCATGTCATAAGCCCACATTTCACATTTCAAAAAAACAATGAGCCACTATTGTTTATAAGATAAGAAATGTAAACTCGCATTTCGAAAGTAGTAACCTGTCTCTAGCTTTGCGATTCAACAGCACATGGAGGGAAGGGAATTTACCTTTGTTTGCCACCTCCATAGTGAACTAATTCTGTGTAGGTGCTGGAGGAAGCCAACTAACGTATGAGGGTCATAGGACCACTCCATTTGTAAATTGTCCACTTACCAGAGCCACAATGGTTTATGTGGGGCACCCTCCAGGGTCTGTTTTGAGTGCTTGCATGAAAGATTGTCACCACAGGAGAGAGAGGGCTCTACTTGGGCATAGAATTGCTCACGGTTCTAAAAAAAAAATGCGGGTGGGCATGAGGCAGAACTGGATTAAGACAGCTAATTCTGTTGTGAGCCTGGGTGTAAAATTTCTTTTATATAACAGTGAATGGGAACCTTGATCTATATTAGCCCATGCACAGCCCATCTGTGCATTTTGTCCTGAAGAAGGTTGCAGCGTGTTGTCCGAAACTTGGGCATCGGTGTGTAGGATGTGGCATCACCCAGACAGCCTAATAGATCCAAACTTAGTCTCGCAATTGAAAAAGTCAGACCACGCATCTCTCTGGTGATTAAAATGGGACTTGTGGTTTTATAGCTGCTGGGATTTAATATATATTTTAATCTTTGTAGAATCATAGTTGTCTTCGCAATTGTATGCACTGGAGAGCTATTTTTTTTAAATATGTAGTGCACATTTACTTGGAGATATTAGCATTTTATTTTACTCATACAAGTAACATTGTCCCTATCAGTGTGGAACATGAAACTCCAAATTATCTCATATTTACAAGATTTTTGTACACTAATGAAATGCTCAAGTAAATTCCTCATTTTTCTTTCATTTTTGTTTGCAAAGTTTTCATAAGTCTTCATAAGAGGATTTTGTTGACAAAGGAGCTATCTTTGGCAAATTCTTCTTTTAAAATAACTTACGGTACAAATATTTATTTCTTGGCTTCTATGTAGGCATTGCTTTATAAGGTGCTTGAAATCTCCTCCCCCCCCCCCCTCTTTTTTATAATTTGAAGCGGAAATTGATTTATTTCACAAATGTGCAGTTATTCTAATTTTCATATTATTATTTGTGTGTATGTGTTTTGGGTACACTTCATTTCGTTGTCCATTCTTTTCCAGTAACATTTCAATTTCTGTACGCAAGGGAAAGAAACTACTCAGAACTTTGCCACAACTCAGCCTCTCAACAGAATGATAGGGAAGATCATTTCAGTGATTCTGTTTCCTTTAAAAAGAATTGAACCAACAATATCCTAGTTCTGTGTGCGGATAAAATTGACAACAGAAAAATCAGTTGTCATTACAGAAGACTATGTCCTTTGGTTTTCCACATAGTGCCTGTTGGTGAAGGTCGCATTGCATTGCCATTGGATTTATTATTTACTTTGGCCTCACAATCTCATCAACTTTATCAAGTTTTTATACCGCATATTCCTTTTAGCCTGTAATGACAAATTGAGATTGTACTTAAAAGATTTCATTACTTTGAAAATATCTTCCTCTGTATTCTAATGACTTCAAACAATTCTTCCATAACTTCAAGACTAATATCACCCATAATACTGCCCGCTTCTGTTGACTCATCCAGTGTAATTGAAAAACTTTCTATGTTTGATGCCATATTAGTAAGTTGACAGGAAATGTTAAAAGCTATTTCTTCTACTCTACATGAAACTATGTTGGATGAAAGACCTACAATTCTCATATTTTGCAATAATGTATTACAGCCCATGTTGTGATAAAATTGAATTTGAATCTCCTTTGGGTTGGCAGGCCACATAAAATACTGGCGAGGGTCGGATGTGACCCATGCCAGCATAGTTTGGAGACCCCTAAACAACAAATTTTCAGTTGAAAAATATACAAAATTTATTTTCATATTACAAAAAAAAGATAGGATGGCTGTCTTGTCATTGCATTAAAACGTACTCCAGTCATTTTCCCACTGGTCTAATTAAATCGTTCGAGAATTCATTTTGGACAAACCTATCATCAACCCTGGTAAAAAGTTCCATAGAGTGTCCATGTTTGCAGTCAAATAAGTACACAGTGCGAGATACAGGAAAACATTTACCAATACATATCATGTATGGGTTTAGTAGCTACCCAAAGTGGGGCATATATACAAACGGAATAGGTATTAATTTGTATTGTTTTCGATTTTTAAATTTCAAACTACATATAGTTTATGGTTTCTGTTTGTGTGTGTGTGTATTGGACTGTCATACCAGTGTTAAACAGTGGCACTGCAGACCTAGCAGAAGTTGCAAGATTTTTTGTTTAAACACACATGCGTGTAAACTTATTAAGTCTGCTAGTTTAATAGTGAAAACAATTGATGACAGGCTAATATTTTTAACTCTTTTGCAGCTGTAATGGAAATAATGGAGGAACGTTTGCGTGTACAACTTGCTCAGCAGCAACTCCAGGCAAAGACGTAGCCTCACTTCAGAAACCATTGATTACTTCATTCTAACTTTGTCTTTAATAAAAAAAAAAAAATTAAGTTTTGTGATTTGATGTTATTGTAAACATTTGTTATTTATTAATATTCTGTTAAACCAATTACACGCTTACTAGCTCTGTGTTTGCATTGATTACTGGGAATACTAACTTCTGAACTTCAAAAGAATTTTTATTAAATTCTATGACTGAATTTCAAATAATTTGTAATTAATAACAATAAAAACTGTATAGCACTTACTTATTGTTTGTAATGAAATGTTCCCTTTCCCCTGTACTGATAATCATTAAGTTGTAACAACGCTCTAGTCCATTTCATTGTAAAATATGCCTGTCTGCTAATGGAACAAATTACAATTGAATAAAGAGTTAAGGGGAAAGTAGGATACAAAACTATGTGCTGAGGATTGGAATATTCGTGACCTAAAAGTTAGCTACATGGAATGTTTTGCTGAGAATTCTGAAAAAGTTATGCAAATATCAAATTGAAGCAGGTTTTTTCCAAGTTAAGATGTGCCACTTAGGAGTAAAGGCTTAGTTCTGGAGGTTCAAGAGAAATTTTACTTATTTCCAAACCAGAGTGTGAACATATTGCCAGAAGTTAAATGTGCTGAAATTTAATCCCAAAACGTACATTTATCTCCAATTACTTAGTTGCAGAAATTTTGAAAATCACTGCAGATAGAAAAAAGCAAATTAAGCTTTCAAATTAAAAATATTATGGAATTTTGGGCAGCATATATTTTTGTCACCAAAATAGGGGAGTCAACTTCAAACATTCTTTGTACATCAAATGTTTTACATGGAAAATATTATCCTCAACTAATGTATATCCTAAAGCAAGCAAATTCAGAATTTCTATATGTTTTTATTCCATGACTGTTTAAAAAGCCATTGAATATTCTTAGATAAATTTCACATAATAATGAAGTACTCTTTATCTGGAAAAGTAAGGTGTGTGATTGGAACAAGGTAGGAATACTTCAATTTTGTGACTGATTTATCAAGTGAAGAAAGCTGATCAACTATAACTTGATAATAAAATTATTTTATTGAAGATAAATGTGTGCAATTCCTCAGCTCCAAGATTGTAAAAAGTTAACACAAGTGACGATGCAAGTCGAGAAATGTCTCTTGTGTCATCTGAATGTCACAAGATTAATTTCATTCTTGTTAATCAAATTATGCCACAACCATAATCAGTTTATTTCCTCATCCAATATCGCATTTGATAAACTATAATAAAATAAGTACATGAAAAATATATTATTTATATTTTACTAAGTAATGCACCTGATTTATTCTGACATATCCTCAGCCAGCAGTACAATGCTAGTTGGGTCCCACTATAAATCTTCTTATCTTGCCATAATGATGGATGGAACATTGTAGACAAATCCAGTTCAGAGCAATACTGACTGCCATCTGGTTCAACATGGAATTTAACCACTTTTCCCAAATCATCACACGATCTTTCAAATAAATTTTCAACATTTTGTTCACAAAGCCATGTACAGGCTTGAACTTCTTCTGGATCCAACTGCCAACAAAAAATGAAAAGATTTTTTATCTTATTATCAATATAAAACACATATGGCAAATTCCATTAAGGGAACAAAAAGTTTAACGATCACAGTTAGGTAAGGAACACGTCAGCATGAATATTTATTTCTGTTTAAAATTTTTATGTTCCTTGTCTATTTAACAAGATACTTCTGTCTAACTGTTACTGTTATCAAATATTTAAAACATGTTTTCCCAGGGAAAGTCAAACTTTTAGTTTAAACAAAACAGATTTTATTTTCACAGAATTGTGGAATGTATATTGTGAATTATGTCCACAGCAAGTAAATCATATAAAGTTGTCATAAAATACATGTCTTTTTAACTTCAGACAAGTTTCTCAATCAACAAATCTGCAGAATTTCAACATTTTTAATCTTAAAAAATAATTTCAATGTGGAAATATAATTTCATGGGAAACAAATTGAAAACAAAGTAAAACTGGGAAATAAATCGTATGGTTCGTATCCCGGATAAAATAGTAAAAAAGACTAGTTTATATAATCGTACATTCTTCTTGGGAACCATAAATTCTGCATAAAAATAACATACTCAGAAAGTATTTCTTGGATTTCTTTGCTAATGTAAAATTCAAAATAACTTGACTAATTTTTTTGGACAATTTCCTAATCAAAATTTGAGATTTGGAGCAGATATAGTAAATTTGTTCTATTTGCATGTATTTTTTAAGAAACAAATTATAAAAACCTTCCATTTTAAAATTCATAGCTTAAATAATATATAACATGTATTTATTCATACACAATACAACTTCTAATTTCTCATAACTCCAAACAATCTAAATTTCTCATGATTGTCTCATTTGTGAAAAATATGAAAAATCATCAGTAGAGCTGAGACCTAAGTCGAAAAATACATAACTTGACTGCGATCAATTTTCTTTAAGTATTTAAATCAGATCCTGAAAAGAGATGAGAGCGTAGGCTTCCACGGCCAGAGTCAGTATTTACTTGGCTATCCGGGTAATGCATTACGCCCTGAGGAAGGTCGCAGAATGGCAACCAAAACGTCAGCACCTTCGCCATGGACGCGCCGTCACCTGGACAGCCAAGTAAATACCTCAAAACAGATGTTTGGATTTTTTCTAATAATCTTAAACATGACATTTCTTTCCTATTTTGGTTCTTCTTGGATACAATTAATAAATTTTAAACAGAAGTAATTTTATTGATTGTGTGTTACAATGACTGGATACTTTCCTTATAAGAGTAAGCATCCTCTTGTTCACTTCAAAATGTGTGTGTGTGTGTGTGTGTGTATATATGTGTGTATATATATATATAGATATATATCCAGACAGACAGAGAGATAGATAGATACAAAAATTACAAATGACAAAATCACAGTGGACTGAATCCCCCCCCCAAGCAAAACACACATGTGTACCCCAACAGTTGAAATTTTACATCTTATGTCTGTAAGGGGCTCTTCACTTTGTATCGTCTCTCCAATACAAACACAGAAGACAAATCTGGGTCTACCTCTTAAAAATCTTCAGTTAAACTTCTTGTCTCTTTGCTGACAGACCACTGACTTAGCATGTGCCTTACAATTTTGAAACACTCAAAATTAAATAATGTATAAAACCATATGCTAAATTCTATTAGCCTTTCCCTTCAATGGGAAGACAATCAACCTTGTTAAAAATATTTAAATGATAAAGTAAAATATGTATTTCATGTCAATTTTCAAATTGAATTTTAATTAGTGTTTTTCCTTCACCATATTGTTATTCACAAAAATCAGTAATATACAGTAAAACCTGTCTTAAGCAGTCACTAATGGTTCCCACAATGGCCATTAAAAGAGGTGGCAGCTTCCTCAAGGTGATTGAAAGTGTAAATGATGCCCAACTGCTATGAAATAAAGTATTTTCTTTACCTTAAATTAAAAAATATAAATCAATTAAACAAAAAGATTTAGGATCACTTGGCTATTTTTAAAACATATCCTTAACTTGTCACTCATTCTGAAAGTCAAGTTCCGTCCTCACTGAATCGAACAAGCAAGCTGGACTAGAAAATGCAATTCAAATTCTTATTGACACACTCAAAGACGTTTATTCTACAATTGTTTCCTGAATCAGAAATTAATACCCTTGTGAAATAAGCATCTCTAGATTTACTGTCCGAAATCAATGTACCCCGACAGAGTTTCTTCACAGCCAGCATTACTGTTGCTCTGCAGCTAGGAGGTCCTATGATTTGAGTTCCAACAATGACAGATTTTCTACACAAGCTGCATAGTTCGATTGAATACAGCTCCTGTCTGGAGTTAAAATCTAGAGACCAGATTCTTCGATCAATACCAGGACACTGCCAGAACAAATACCTTAACAAACGGAACTTGCACCATCTTTCCTTCTTTCTTGTTCTGTCCTCTCCACTTGCACAGTTACATGCCACTCTACTACACATGTTGGGAGCTTGTCCCACAGGGGAAGCTACCTGAGGGAGAAGCAAACACACAGATTGGCAGCTTATCCGACGCACCTGCAGGGCGGAGGGGTCTCCTTTTTGCTGAATTAGTTCAAGTCACATCTGGCCTCAGTGTAGGAAATACTGTCCTTTCTTCATACCTTCATTTTGTGGCCAAGTGCAGTATTGAGCCACAGATGGCATCCACAGAGCTAAGACAGATCCTGATGGAAAGGGAATTTGAGGTAGTTCCTCTTTGAATATTAGTTCTCAAACATACCTTTGTCAAAAACTCTTAAAGAGAACTAATAATTAACTGTGCTGTGAACATATTTATTTAGCAGCATGATACACACTGTTGGTGAACAAGAAAAGTGATGCATAAAAAAATCATTTTTTAGTTAAATGAAGAAATATATTCAGAAAAGTCTATTTTACTGGAACAAACATAAAAAAATTGTTCACAGATAACAAAGACATGTTAGAATAGTTTTGGAATAAGCGGCTCTGTTCAGGAAAACCATTCTCCTGCAAAATGACATTTTTATACAGATCACTTTTCTTGTATTCTGACAATATATTGGCATCATAGTACTTAGACAGCCTGGACAGGCACTTCTAACTTCTCATCACCAAGTCCTAGACTTTTACACAACCATTCATGAAACAGTTAGTTCAACATAGGCATAGCACATGCCTCAGCGCAGCTTCTATCTCATCGAGATCGGTTGCGCAGTCACAGCATGATACTGCCAGTCTGATGTAGTGTACCACTGAATTCAAGCAAAGATCCAATCGATAGCAGTTTCATGGTTTGCATTTCAGAGGAGATAAGTTTTAAAAATAAATGAAACTAATGTAAATAAGTCTTTGTATGCTCTTAAAGTAAATAGTCACAAATATGCACAAGATTTGGTATATAGATTCCAAACAAGGATTGAATTTGTGTTCATTCCGCATATCATTAATTTTAAGGGAAATAACATGCAAATATGCAAAATCCACAGCCTATTCATCAGAAGCCAGGGTCAACAGCTCACAAGAAATTTACCTATACATGTAAGTTCCTTGACAACACATTGCCACATGAAATTAAACAATTAAAATCTATACACAAGTTCACGTACCAAGTAAATTGTTTCTGCTGCATAACATGCTACACAATAACAGACTTGTCAGAAAGAAAAATAACATTTATTTTAACAATGATATTTAACGAACTAGTTAACAATAGTATTGTAAAATTTTAAAAGACTAAATAATTCTGTAACAAGTAACGTACTTCAGATTCAGTCAATGAGACCCAATATTGTTGAGGTTTTTCATCCAGTTTTCTGATCCATAGAGCAACTGCTTAGATGACACCTTGTTTTGCTCTTGGGCATAAATGTAGATTCACTTTGTGCATTTTTCGTCAAGCTCTCCTTTTGCTAGTTGTAGGAGAAGAGATGGAGGTGTGGGCTATTTATTTAGCAATATTATAAAATCAAATCTGGGGTGCATTTACCGATGCAAATAAGTTTTCTAGAGCGAATATTTTTAGTTTATAAAACTTTCAGGGTACTTTCATTCAACATTCAACTACATATAATGAAGTGGTGGGGAAGGGATTCTGAAGCTCAAGAAAACTTGCACAGATGCACTCTTCCCCATAAGTCACAAAGTTTTTAACTTTTTTTTCGATGAAAATAAATCAAATCAAATACACTTTTCACAATAATTATTAAATACATTCAAACACAGTAAAAGGAAGAAATAGTACTAGAACTTGTGAAGTGTACATCAATCACTGTTTTAAGATCCCTTTAGATTATAAAAAAGAATATGAATGTATACCAACTTTTATTTTTTTCTGCAATTCTTCCGAAGTCTCTTGAGCTCGTAAATAATAATATACAACAATATGATGGTTTTTTGGCACACCAAATCCCAAGAGGACGGGAAATACGGATTCCCACAAACATAAAAGCTGTGCTTGTGATTCACCAAATTCAAATTTCAAACCAGTTTCTTCCTTCAATTCTCGAAATGCACACTCCAAAAGAGTTTCACCACACTCTGGAAAAAAAAATAGTAACATATACAATAAACATACATATATTCAAAATATTCTCATACAATAAGCAAAAGTTAAAATGACTTGCAATTAGCTTTCGTTTCCTTAAAGTTTATTTCATTTAATTGAACAAAAATCTGTAAAAAACTCTTAATTAAAATCATTTAATCTGGAGGGTAAACTTCTAATATATATTAAGTAGGTAAAGTTTATCATTTTCTTGGACCAACCTATGTATTTTCATCTATACCTCCTACAGGTCCTTTAAAGGTATATTGGTAATAAACATTATTATTGATTATTATTATTATTATTATTATTATTATTATTATTATTATTATTATTATTATTATATTAATTGCAGTTTTAAAGTGTAAATGGAAAAGGAACAAACCTAAATGGCCTCCAGGAGGAACCCACACCCGTGGAAAAGCTCTCATGCGATCAGATCTTTGTGTCAACAAGATTTTGTGGTCCAGAGATTCCAAGATTACTGTAACTGCTACGTACACGCCTTGACTGCGAACTTTTTCAGACACCTGACTTGGTTCATCAAGTCGCAGAATGGGACACTCTGGAGAATGCTGAAATTGACTCCAGAAGGTGAACTTTTTGCACCCATACATAATTTATTTAGCTAAGTATTTCTTTTAGTATTGTACATACCTGGAGTAAAACAGACGACATTCTTGTATTTGTTAAAGGAATGTCCTCTGAAGACCGGAATTTTATATCACCGTCATCTTGAGCTGGAGATAAAACTAACATATCATCCTTTAATTCACATGACACTCGCACCCGCAGTTCATTTGGAAGAAAGTAATTCACAATGCAGTCAATGAATTTTGCTGGAACGATAACTTCGCTTTTCTCGTGTCGTTTTAAGCCAACAATCATTCTACGTAATCCCGCCATCTCGTCAGCTGCCAAGCTGACTTCAGCAACACACACAAACCGTGCGGATGGCGATAGCATATGTTAGTTGTACCAACTCAACGACAAACGATTTACGTCTATTGTGGTGGAGAAATTGTAGGAACAGGCTAAGCCGAAGCTGTCATAGGGCAGAGTAAGAGCGTGTTAGATATTATTCCGTTCTTTAATGTGATAATATTCTTCACATAGGAGTGCATTGTCTGACATTTCATAATGTAAATAGTTGAGATATTTTAAAGTAACCTGCAGCCGCAGTGTATGAACGTCGGAACGAGTATTGTGTTGCAATAGACACTTCACCGTTACAGACAAAATGGCTAAGATGCCAAATAACACACCGAAGCAGCTCGCGGAGATCACAAACGTCACGGGAGTAGTAGCTAATGTAACAAGTGCTTCCCCAGTTACAAATGTCTCGGAGGCTACTGCAACGGTTACTGGAATAGCAGGAGTTGCAGGAATTCTGGTGACTCATTCCCAATCAGCTCATTCTTCTCACGCTTTCAGTAACATGTTGCCGACAAATCCAGGTGACTGGGATCCAGTGACAAACAGTGATTGGCAAAAGGAGACACCATCACCACAATGCATTCTTAGAATCAAAAGGTAATTTGTAGATCTGTTCTTTGTGTCAAAATGAATTTGTATGGAATTATTGCTCATTGGTCTCAAATTTCAGGGATATAATGTCAATATACAATGAACCCCCTCCTGGATTATTTGTTGTTCCTGATGAGAAGGACATGACAGTGATTCATGCTTTAATTACTGGTACATTTGATACACCTTATGAAGGTGGCTTCTTTTATTTTTTTATTCGTTGTCCTCCGGACTATCCTATTAGACCACCAAGAGTAAAGCTGATGACAACCGGTGCTGGAACTGTTCGTTTTAATCCAAACATGTACAAAAATGGAAAGATCTGCTTGAGTATCCTTGGGTTGGTTTCTTTTTAATTTGTTATTACTTGTAAATTATTCTTTTTTTTAAATAATGTGAATAAATATGCCTTTTTTGTAGGACTTGGACTGGCCCCTGCTGGAGTCCTGCCCAAAGTTTATCCAGTTTACTTATTTCCATCCAAAGTTTGTTAAATGAAAAACCATATCATAATGAGCCCGGATTTGAGAGAGTGAGTGCAGTAGTCCATGCCAATTGAAAATGTTCTATATAGAAATATTTCATTGCATGATTTTTATTTATCAGGAAAGAAATCCTGGAGATACTGCTCGTTATAATGACATTATTCAACATGAAACTTTACGGGTTGCCGTCTGTGGGATGTTGGAAAATGAAACCTGTTTAAATATTCCTGAGCCTCTTCAAGAAGTAATGGAAAAAACCTTTTTAGAATTCTATGACTATTATGTTACTACTGCTCAGAAGAAATCTCACCTTAATGGACAGGCAATGCTGGTAAACCTAATTTTAACCTCAAACCATTGTGGAAATTTTATTTAAAAAGTTTATTTAAAATTATGATATTTGTATTCAGGATCCATTTGCTAATCTTCAGGATCCGTACTGTGAAGAACGTGGGATTTATCAATACAATGCCATTTTGGCCCGCTTGAGAGCTCTCCGCAAGAAACTATCTGATAAGCTCTCTAGTCCCCGAGGTCAAGGAGATAAACCATCAGACAATGAGTGCTCAACTTCAGATTCTGATGCTGAGGTGCCCAGTTGATCATCATAGACTGATCTTCAATGCGACATTTCCAGCTGTCGCTTCAACATCAAGTAAATTGTGTGTGCAATACTTCTGTCAAGTACTGTATAAGTCCAAGAACATTTGTGATTAATTGTCAGTTGTTAAATTTGAAGAAGAGGATGACAGGTGTCAAAATTGGATTTTTTAAATTTATTTAATGTTATTGATACATTGTACTTTCTATAATTTTTTAGAATAATTTTGAAAAAATATGCATTATTTTGCAAGATTGCGTATGTGGTTCATTGCCATTATTCAGAATTTTTTGATAGAGACAAAATTACTTTATTTATTAGATACTTTATCAAAACAAAAACATGTTTTCTCAAAGCACAGATTCAACTTCATAATTGTTAATTGTATTGCCACAAAATGTTAACCTGCAATTGGTGCTTCATGTATAGATTTAAGTAACATTTCTTAATGCGATTCTCCTTCTCTTCTAGTTGTGCTGTCGAAAAAAGTACAGAGTGAACTTTTGAAATTTTGACCTTTTCATATTGCATACATGAATATATGAACAACATTTATTTGCTTACATCTAAAATTCCCAAGGCATAATTTTTAGGAGAATTATTATATTCATGTAAATTGCAAAACTTACACAGAGGAAACACATTTTCTGTATATTTAGTACAACTTCAAATAGAACTGTTATGGATTTCTTTTCATTAGTTTAACAACTGTTTTGCTCCAGTATTGTAGATAATATTTAATCTCGTTCTATAATGTTTTTGTTTCATAGACAGTATTAGAACATTTTTCTGAGACACTGTAGTCCATTTCTTCCTTTTAACAAGGATCCTTTTATTGCATGAATTCATTTTATCAAATCTTTCCTCTTGGCAAGTTGTTAGGAATTTCAAATCCATTGTTGCTGTTATATTGAGTTGATGAAAGCTGACTTAGTGGTTTAACAGTTATCCTTAGAACATTGTTAAAGTTTATTCTTGTTTATTGCTATGTGACTGATAATTGACATTTTAAAATGGAATTTATGGATTTATTGTGAGACAAACCCAATCTAACTTGACCCTATGTACATGTTTTGCTGCCTTACATTTTCAATATTGTTTATTTCAGTGTTTGAAGCAAGACATCAACATCTTAGCAGTATCAGAAGTATTATATCAATGCAATTTTGTCTAGTTTTCCTCAATAGGAATTAATTTTTTATACAGCATTCTTTGTATGGCAGTAATTGTCAATAGAGCTAATACATTTTCATTAAATGAATTGAATAGTTCCCAGAAAATTGTTATTAATTGGCATGAAAAATAATTAAAAAATTACAAGTACAAGACATTTGCACTGCCGAAGTCCTTGAAGAATGTATTAAAAGTTTGTAGGACTTTCAACGTAATAATAGAAAAGTGTTCATCTACAGTACTCTTCAATAAAACCTCTTTGAGTTGTTTGTAGTCTTAAATATAATCTTGTGTTCCAGATTTTTTTTCATACTGATGGAATGCATCAAATGAAGTAGATAAATTGCCATCTTCAGAGTGTAATCACTTATGAAAAATAATTGTTTTCCTGGATGTGTCTTTGGCTGAAATGATAGTGGAAAATAGAGTGACTGTTGCAGCAGCATGGCTGAAAGTTAATATCACGAACGTTCTACTTCGTGATTGAACGGCCAGTACAGATAGGATGGTGTAATGATGTAGGAGTTAATCTTTGAGTTGGTGTGAGAGGTTGTGCTCACGTGCAGTGATAACAAACAACCTCAGTACAGAATTCTTAGGTCATGTAATAGGTATTAGATGTGAATAGGATATCAACAACTCAGATCTATAAGCATTACAAAAAATGAATTTATCTTGTTAAATGTGATCAGGAATTTAAAGTGTACAAAGATTATCATAAAAGAATACAGTCAGGAAAACCTTTAGAGAAAATAATGGGCAGGATCCAAGTAAAGTATTGTAAAAATTGTATATTTCCTTGATTAATAATTTAAAAAATATTAGTTTATAAAAGTTTTTGAGTAGTAGCCACTTTTTCTAGTGTGGTACTAATTCACATTCATTCATTTTTGTAGATGTGCATTGCCTTTATAGAAAAACAAGAAGCAAATGTAGAGATGGAATTCTTCTTCACTAATGAAATTACTCAAGATTGTATTTAAATGTTTATAGCTTTTTGAACCTTTTAACATTCCATATCTTTCATTTTGTAGACATAATTGAAATAAATTATAATACTGCTTTGTTGAAAAGTATTTTGTCAATTCTATCAGCCACATTTCATTGTCGTATAAAAACTGAACTGTAGTGTTGAGACCAATTTGGCTGAGGTTCCGATCAATATATTTTCATATACCTCATTTCGTTGTTCGTAATTGATGTAGTTGTGAATGAAAATATGTGACAGATAATTGATCATCAGTTTTGTTTCACTGTTTGGTCAAGGATTCAGAGATGTGTTCAATAAATGTTTGTGACAATGAAGTGTGTCTGTGAAAAATGCATGTATGTAAGTTGGTGAGTCCAGAAACATGATTCATTGTTTCACATTATGCCTGTACAAATGTGTATAATGAGGCAATAAAATGAGAAACTATTGCTTGCATACTGCCAATGTAGATCCTTCTTAAGAAAGGAAGCACCAGATAATTTATGTTCATGTGTTTTCATTACTTTGCTGTATAATGCACAAATTGTCTTTTGTTCATTATATATTATGTACATTTATTTTCATTTTTGTGTTGTAATAAATGTTCCTTAATCACTGAAATGTCATCCAGTAGTTTGAGATGTATATGTATTCAAAAATATTACAAATAAAAACATACTATTTTGGATTATTAAATTCGTTACATGCTTCAGACGGATGATAGTTGTAGCTTTGTTTTAAATTATATATTCTACCATGATGTTCCTTACAAACAAAAATACCAAACTGTCGGGATACATTTACTTTCTGTAACATGTAAGTGGCTCTAGCTAAAAAAAGTATTGCTTATTTTTTAAATATAAAACTGAAGTTGTAGATAATAAATTTGATTATTTTTTAAATTAAAAGAAAACAACATAATGAATGATTGTGAAACGGGTGATTTAATGCATAGGCAAAGTGGCCTCAAAACATTGAAAAAACAAACACACCATTCAAGAATTATGTGAAGTTTAGTACTTTCTAACTACATAATTGGTAAAGAGAAAGTGTTGTGATCAATTTTTAAATAAAAACTAGTTGTAGGGCTCTGGTAAAGAAAAGTAGATAAATATTTTATGTATATGGAGCAAATTACACCCTTTCACACGTTTAATCAGAATTCATATTCTTGATTCCGAAAAATCGATTGACGGCAAAACGTCTTTTTGCTCGTGGTAGCTAGCGCCTAAAGGGTTCACACGATTTTCTTCAAAATGCATACCTTCGATTGATCTGAATGAACTTGAAAGCCTGAGAGTGTGAAATGGATATTTTTATTTGTTTGGGTTCTCTATATGAAACTTCAACAGTTCCGAAGTGCTCACCTTTGCTGTCGCCTTATTGTCCCGGATCGGTCGGGAGGCTCCCGAAGGCTGCGGCCTTTCAATGTCATCGAAAAGTCTAATTTTTACTCTCTACAACTGCTTACGCAGGAGAGAGAAAGTATTGTATTGATGAGGGGAAAATTGCGAATTTTCGCCAGGTAAACATATTGCCGGGCCCTGGAAGAGAAAAAGTGGATTAATCTTGTCTCATCAACTGTGAGCCATCCCCATAACTTCTAAACCAGGACGGGTCTAATTCTGCCCAACCGGCGGGCAGTATTGGGCCCGTGGTGCCATTTATTGTGGCCCGCGATAAGTTGTTAGTCAAACGGGAAAGTCTCTTTCAAGCATGTCGGGCTAGAACATTGGGCGCCGAGCACAAAGGTGGATCCAGCCGATGAATTGGGGTGCATCATAGATTTTTTTTAAACAACAAACATTTGTCATTATAAGGTATATTATTTATGTACTATAGATAAGACATATGCAATATTATTGTGTAAATAATTACATAATTCTAATATAAATAAATATTTAAATCAATTTTGCCAAATAAAGGAAGGTAAATGAAAACTGTAGGCCATTTGGGTTGGGGTGGGGGGCTCCACTCGCCCTAGGTCTGCCAGTGGCCTAGCGCACTTGCCCTGCCGGGGTCATCACCCCCTTAATGTACAAATATATGGGTTTTTCCTAGTAAATTCAAAATCTTCCAAAAGTGATTCACTGCTCTATGCATGCTACAGCCTTATATCACGCATGGTCCCACTCCAATTTCAGAGGAAAATGCCGCGATCTACAAGACGGGGTCACGTGTTGATCGTCCGAGTAATGAAAATATGGCCTGCATCCGTATTAAAGGTTTTAGTTGCCACCTTGCAAGTTGGACACTCCTGTTCTAAATATTCACGATATCAAAGTGCAGTTTTCATGTATCATATTTTTAAAAGTAATTCGAGTATAAAATCGGTATTTCTGACATGACGTGATTTTCAATTTAATCGATTTGTGGGATCTGTCGATCAAATTCAGTGTCTCCCTGTTGTTGTTGTTGTTGTTTTTTTTCTGTCCTGCGTATGTCAAACGTTTTCTTACCATTTTAAAAGCTCTACTCTGATTGGGTCCTTCTTATTACATCGTTCATTTTATTCTAATCAACCCTCGGACATATTTCAGAACTTTCATGAGTGGAAGTTTCCACCCGTCGCTCTCTCTAAGGAGCCGTCCATAAATTACGT